TTTTTTTTTTTTTTTTTTTTTTTTTTTTTTTAATACAATGGTTTACTGAACAAATTGCTCTCTTTAAATAAATTCAATTAATTAATTTTCTTAAGGATAAAAATCTACCTCTGCTTCTGCTCTAAACTATACGGAGCCCTTTTACATTAGGCTACAATAAGTTTACAATTAACAACAGATCCCAAACTTAAATTCAATTACTATTTATTTTTAACTTCAACACTCGAATTAAAAAAATTGTATGCAAACATGTAAATTGTTTTTAAATTAACTTCTAAATTATACCTATTTGTTGAAATATAATAATTTCTAAATAAAGTCATAATAGTTTAATGCATATGTTTAAATAAATATTTTATGAAACAAGTTAAGACATCACTAACAGGTAAAATAAATATAATGAAGTAGGCCTAAAGTGTAATATTTGATTAAATGCTAGACTTCTCTAGACTTAATTTCTCTGGTGAATTAACGAGCTGTGGACACTGATGACTTGCCTGAGGTAAATGAAATGCTACGTGACATTTTGCTTACAAGCTGTTTTAATTCTTTCCGTGGTTGAAACACTGATAGGCTTATTGAGCGATTACACGAGGGGTGAGATGTTCGTTCATGTTTATTTTGTGTTAAAACTAGTAATAAAGACGAAGGGATGATCGTGCTCTGCGCTTCCGTTAGAACTAAGGCGTTAGTTTACGGCAGGCCTGTCCAAACTTTGTCCTGGAGGGCCAGTGTCCTGCAGAGTTTAGCTCCAACTTGCCTCAACACACCTGACTGGAAGTTTCTATGCCTCGTAAGAGCTTGATTAGCTGGTTCAGGTGTGTTTAATTAGGGTTGGAGCTAAACTCTGCAGGACACCGGCCCACCAGGACTGAGTTTGGCAATATGTTGCGCCGCATCAAAGACCGTCAAAACCGCATTTATTGACTGAATTTCCTGAAAAAAATTGCACGATGCGTACCAAACCGAAAGACCCATACCGAAAATTTTCGGTACGAATACGTGAACCGTTGTACCCCTAATAAAAAAAAAAATGTATATATGTATATGTCAAATATTACATTTGCAATTTGCATTAAATGTTTTTATTTCATTGATTTTTTTTTTTTCTAGGTGACATAAGTAAAATGGCCCGAACGTCATCGACAGGAACCATGTCATCAAACGAAGACCCAGATGAGAAAGACTCCAATGTTACTTCCTTTGAAACGCCAAGTGAGAGAAAATAGTGCACAAGTGTTTTCCTTTCTAAACTGTGCCTGTTATCCAGTTTCTCACTGTCCGCTCAACGTTTTCCAGATTTAAACGGCATCGAGCCCGAGATTGTGGTGCCTACCGGGCCGTTCAGGAACGTGGGTCTGTCGAAAGCCGCTCAGACGCACAAACTGCGCAAACTGCGTTCCCCGTCCAAATGCAGAGAATGCGACAGCTACGTTTATTTCCAGGGAGCCGAGTGCGAGGAGGTGAGGTCACGCCGGCTGCGCTTGGGCCTCGTGTTTGAAATAAGCCAGGCTTATTAAAGGGATAGTTCACCCAAAAATTTGAATTCTGTTATTAATTACTCACCCTCATGTCGGTCCAAACCCGTAAGACCTTCGTTCATCTTCTTAAGATATTTTTTTTTATGCATTCCGAGAGCTCTCTGACCCTCCATAGACAGCAATGATCCTTACACGATCAAGGTCACATATTTGGAGAGTTTCAAATATGTAAACAATGTATGCAACGATTGTACGCGGATGCATTGTATACGTTTAACAGCGTATCCACGTACGGTGCTGCTGACACAGAACCGCATACGTTGTTTATGTATGTGATAGGCTACTCTCCAAAATGGCACTATAGGGTGACACGACGGAGACGAATTGAATAAAGTCATTATTTTTGTTTTCTTTGCGCACAAAGTATTCTCGTAGCTTCATAAAAGTACGGTTGAACTGATGTCACGTGGTTTATTTTAACGATGTCCTTACTAAGTTTCTGGACTTTGATCGTGTTAGGATCCTTGCTGTCTATGGGAGGTTCAGAGAACTCTCGGATTAATCAAAAATATCTTAATTTGTGTTCTGAAGATGAACGAAGGTCTTATGGGATGACATGAGGGTGAGTAATTAATGACAGAATTTTCATTATTGGGTGAACTAACACTAATTAAAGTCTGATTTGCTCTTGGCAGTGTTTCCTGGCCTGTCACAAGCGCTGCTTGGAGACTTTGGCCATTCAGTGCGGCCACAAGAAGCTCCAGGGTCGCCTTCAGCTGTTCGGGCAGGATTTCTCGCAGGTGTCCGGCAACAGTCCCGACAGCATCCCCTTCATCATCAAGAAGTGCATCAGCGAGATCGAGAGAAGAGCGTTGAGAATGAAGGTACGTTCAGATCCAGCAGGTCCCGGCCAATGGAAATGCAGGATTGTGCTGATGGTCCTCCCCTCTGTCAGGGTATTTATCGCGTGAATGGGGTGAAGACGCGGGTGGAGAAGCTGTGCCAGGCGTTTGAGAACGGCAAAGAGCTGGTGGAGCTGTCACAGTCCTCACCACACGACATCAGCAACGTACTGAAGCTTTACCTGCGGCAGGTGAGCCACCACTGCATCAGGACATTTATGAAAAATCAGTTATATAATATTGTGGAAACTGCATTTTTGGGTTTTGTGTATTATTTATATATA